TTTTATGGTGGACCTCCATACACCCAGTCTTTGTTTGATCTTCATTATTTTTAAAATACATTTTTTTCTTCCTTTTAATCTCATATTTTTCAATAAAATAATATTGCATGCAAATTCAATTTTTTTCCTTTTTTTAATCATACATTCTTCGTTAATTTACTATTTCATAAAACATTCTCAGAATAAAAATGGAGCTCAAGACACTAAAATAATCTTCACAGTCTCTATTTAAACCCCATCCTTCTTCTCCCTCTCCCCCAAAATCCGCCTCTCCTTTTTGTTTCTCTCTTAAAATTTGTCTCTGTTGATCAAAACTAAAAAGGTATCTTCTGAGTTTCAACATTGCAAATAGATTAAGAACAAACACACATGGCTTCTTCTATGGCACATACCCAGTCAATCTCCATTAGGAAGCCCAGAAGAAGAGACGAAATTCACCGTGCTCTACACTCACCCTCTGTTCTCACTTTCCCAAAAGGCCCCTTTGAAATACCAACAATCACGAAAAAGGACTCGCCGGCGAAGACATCTCCACCCCCGGAGTCGTCGCCGCCACTACCACAGTGGAACATACTACAGAAAGCCGCAGCCAAAGCGTTGGACGCGATGGAAAGTGCGTTAGTCTCACGCGAGCGGCAGATTCCACTCCCTAAGACAGCTGACCCTGGTGTTCAAATCGCCGGAAATTTCGCTCCGGTACCGGAGACTTCCGTCAAGCATAACCTTCAGGTGGCAGGCACGATTCCCGACTGTATTAAAGGTGTTTACGTGCGAAACGGTGCCAACCCTTTATTCGAACCAGTCTCCGGCCACCACCTCTTCGACGGCGATGGGATGATCCATGCAGTGACGATTGAAAGTAGACACTCTGCGAGCTACGCCTGCCGCTTCACCGAGACAAAAAGGCTCGTTCAAGAACGTGAATTAGGCCACCCCGTGTTCCCAAAAGCCATTGGCGAGCTCCATGGACACTCTGGTATAGCCAGGCTCCTCCTATTCTATGCCCGTGGCTTATTCGGGCTTCTTGATCACAGCCATGGGACCGGAGTAGCCAATGCGGGATTGGTCTACTTTAATCAAAGACTATTAGCCATGTCTGAAGATGATCTTCCCTATCAAGTGAGGATCAAGCCCTCTGGCGATCTTGAAACAATAGGCCGCTATGATTTTGACGAACAATTGAGGACGACAATGATTGCTCACCCCAAGATTGATCCTGTTTCTCGTGAACTCTTTGCTTTAAGCTACGATGTTGTTCAAAAACCATATCTGAGGTACTTCAAATTCTCCGCCGATGGAAAGAAGTCACCGGACGTTAAGATATCGTTGGACGTGCCGACTATGATGCATGATTTCGCGATCACCGAGAACTACGTGGTGATTCCCGACCAACAAGTGGTGTTCAAGCTTCAAGAAATGATTAAAGGTGGTTCTCCAGTGATATATGACAAAAACAAGAAATCTAGGTTTGGGATTTTGTCAAAAACAGCTGAAAATGCAAACAACATTTTATGGATTGATTGCCCTGATACCTTTTGCTTTCACTTGTGGAATGCCTGGGAAGAGCCGGAGACTAATGAAGTTGTGGTGATCGGCTCATGCATGACTCCTCCGGACTCAATTTTCAATGAATGTGATGAAAATCTAAAGAGTGTTTTATCAGAAATCAGGCTCAATTTAAAGACTGGTAAATCAACAAGGCGGCCTGTTATTCATGCATCAGAACAGATTAATTTAGAAGCCGGAATGGTGAACCGAAACCGGCTTGGTCGTAAAACTAGGTACGCCTATCTTGCAATTGCTGAGCCATGGCCTAAAGTTTCAGGCTTTGCTAAAGTCAACCTATCGTCAGGTCAAGTTCAGAAATTCATGTATGGCGACGAAAAATACGGGGGCGAACCATTTTTCGTGCCGAATGACTCAAATTTGGATGGAGAAGAAGATGATGGGTTTATTCTTGCATTTGTCCATGACGAGAAGGCTGGGAAATCTGAACTGCAGATAATAAATGCCAGGAGTTTGAATTTAGAAGCCAGTATCAAGCTTCCATCTAGAGTGCCATATGGTTTTCATGGGACATTCATAAGCTCAAGCGACTTAGAAGATCAAGTATATAGTAAAAAATAAATTAATTCGAAAGCCAGTACTGTGTTTTCTGTAGGTGTGATATTCCAGAGGGATATTGTAGATAAATGTCCCCGGACTCTCCTCATATTTTAAATTTCAAGGTTCTTTTTTTGTGGGGTTTTACTAGTGGGTTTTCAAGAAACCAAGCTTGAAGTTCTTAGCGTGTAGCTATATTTTGAACTCAGCAGGTTTCTGTTTTTTTTTTTTCCCTTTATTTATGGAGACGCATTTGTGTTCTGTCTTCTGAACTCTTTCAACTCTGATATAATAAATGCATTCACTACACAGATCAATCTGCATGCCCCACTAATTTATGACTGCAGTATCTCCGTTAAATTTTTATTTTTTTATTTTATTAAACTCATTTTTCATTAAATATAATCAAAGAGAGAATATATTACATTGTTTCATGCACACATTAATTAAACTCATTTTTTATTGAGTAATGCTACGTAATCCCACCGGAGTTACAACTCCAGTCTACATAGTTATTTAGAACTTCACAACCACTTGCATATGTTGTGCGACCTCTTAATTTTCTGATCCTTTTCTATAGTTTTGGTTTGTGGATTAAGGGCGTATTCGGTAGAGATTAAAATCGGATTAAAACTGAAAAATTAATTGTTATTGTTGACTTTTATTAGACGAGTGAGATTCAATAACGACTTTATTTTCAATTTTAATTAGATTTTAAACTTAATCAATCGTACTATAAATTCAAACTTGCAAGTTGCAATGTATTTTATTTTGATTTAAAGCATGCCATCATCGTGGAAGAATTGTATGGTCTAGTCTTTGCACACGGAAAGTTAGCGGCGCGGCACTGACCCACACGATGAATTTGGCACATTAATAAGGTCACACTACGAAATGGACGTACTCTCCTACAGCACAGGGTCTGTCTAATACTTTTATTTAATTTGCCGGCGATTCAATGTTAGCCATAACTTTGTAAAAGATGCTCATTCTTGAATCATCATCCACCACAATATATGTTAGGAATTAAACACGAGATTATATAGCATAATATAAAATAATAATCACAATACTAGAAGAATACAAGAATAATTGATAGAGGAATGAAGAATTTATTAATAGGGTGAAAAATACAAAAAATATTGTTTTTACTATATTGTCTAACATCCTAAAACTCATACAAAGTCATATGAAAAGCCATACAATTCGTGAAAACATATATAGAATCCAAATGAGTATGTCTTGGATAAAAATAGGGTAAAAAATCGCATCAAAATTTCTCCGAATAAGTAGCCTGCTCGAACGACAACCTCACGCCAAGTGAACTGTACGTGGCGCTCGAACGATAAGTGGGTGGTAAGTGAGCGGCAGCAACAACGTTCCGACGCTGAGTGCATGGCACTCAGGCACCTCGTTACAGGTCCAAATTGATTCCAACCACCTTAAATGGTGCTAAGGCGCCTGAATTGGACGCCCAATTGCTATTCCAAAATATCTCAAACGTCTTTAACATCTCTTTCAACTAATCTATGAATTTCCAACTAAACCTGGGTCATAAAATAAGAATATACCTATCAAATATCCTAATTCTCTTTCCAACTGGCTCAACTTAAAAGAGCAAACTATATCCGAATTTCACGTCTCCGTAATTCAAATTTCTAGCTTATCTCAACATAGTAATTTCAGGTCAAGCCTCGACCAGATTTGCAAATTTTAGCATCCTGAATCTTATGAATATAAAAATACAAAAGAATCTGGAACAAAAAGCCAAAAGAATACTCCAAGCCCGGAATTTGTTGATAAGCACCCACCCACCCACCTTCTTCCACTCCTTAAAACCCCAAATAGAAACAAAGAAATTAACTCTGTAGAGCATGAACTTCACGTGAAATACTCGTGGAACTTGGACCTAAAAATCTAATGGGGTTGACTATTGGAAACTGGAAAGAGACTCCAATACAGTCCAAAATGAAATTGATTTTTTTTTTAAAATTATTTTACAGATATAATCAATTATTTACGCACAATTAATAGTAATATTACCTCATCTCTATCCACTTGTGACGGGTTTGATGCGTTAAATTATAACTTTGTTCAATATTAATG